GCCATACCAGGGGAAATTATACTTTTATAATGGCAATCTATAGTATATGAACGATTTCTGAGAACCAAAAAATGTATGTACATATGTATGTAGGTGCATTAATGCAATTGATTTGCGTGCAGTCATAGATTTTAGTAAGAGATAGATAATTCAGGGAAATAATAGAAATTTGGGGAAATGTCACAAACTGAGTCATGCATGGGGGCAACTGACCGTCAGAGTCGTTGCCAAAAGAAATTAATGCCAAGTTCAACGTCACAGAATCAAAGAAAGACCGTTCAAAATATAAACACGATTTGTGGTATTTTTGGCTACGTCAAAAACCGGTCTGAATATGTTATGATTGTACATACATACATATACATATGTACATATGTATTTTTTATCTATATGTTATTAAAGTATGTTGTGCGCCTTTTTGTATTTATATTTACTTGCAGAAATCGCGTCTATAGAGTGCTGAGATGTGTATGTATGTAAATGTCAAAAACAGTTTAGTTCCTGTTCAATTTGATTTACATAGATAAACATGCAGCTTTAACGGATGTTTCAATTCAACTTATTCGATAAGTGCCATGAGTCAAAGCTGTCCTATGCAAACATCGATTACAAACTAATCACAACACTGCGTATTGATCATATTTTCGGTTCGAATGCCATCGCTAACAATTGATTCACATGCAAAATGAGGTGATCGCCGGAATATAAGCATGTGCTTCCCAGACCAAGAGCTCATTCCCGATTAAAACTTAGTAAGGAGTGGTTGTGAGAGTTGCAATAATGGCAGTACAAGCTTCAAATAATAGGCGCAGTATACGTGAGGTGCAGCAAACCTTTGCCGAGTCCCTCGGATATGCCAATGAAATTATTTGGGATCTGTAAGTAGTGCGCAATTAGGTTTCAAATTGTGTGTAGAAACGCAATACGCTTATCGCTAATATACCTTTTGCAATTTTCAAAGCTTATCCGTCAATCAGGCACATATTTTGAAGTTAAAAATCAAGAATTTAATACAGGATCCCGTTGTGCCGGCCGGACTGACGGAAGAGGAGAGAGCAAAAGCAGAAGCTAAGGTACAAAAACAAAAAGCTGCCAATGAAGATCTGCGCGAGACTTTTTTCAATGCCATTTGGTCGCAGCGTAAGTGTTCGCTTCTTGATACGGATAGGGATAGAGTGCATCCTTGATATGTCTGTTTGTCATTGCAGGTAAATACTGCAATCGGCAGTCGCTCACGTCCATCTTCTATGTCATGGTTGCCACCGATGAAACGGACCATACGAAAGCAGCAATTGCTACAGAATGGTCCTGTCATCCCGTTGTTCGTGTACGGCGTTGCGTTTGTAAGTTTAAAAAATGAGTCATCTCTAAGACGCTCGCATGATCGATGAATCAACATCCACGTTGTGTGGCCTAACTGAATGTATAATCTAATGATTTCAGCAATCAGCGAAGATAGCACAAATAGCTCCGATTGCTGCATGGTCTTTGTGGACGATCAGGGTCGGGTGTATCAGAACTGGATGGCCTATGTGGAGAATAATGAGTTGCCCAAGGGTATCATGGTGGCGCCACGACGAGGTGTCTACAATCTGATCAATAATGTGGTTCAGTTGGAGACATGGCTAACGCCAGTCTCAACTACCAGGAGACAGGTGCTCAATGCCATGGATACGACGACGGCTGTCACTGGCCTGGCAGCAGCTAGTGTGCCACTATTGGGCTTACTGGCTGTGCCTATCGCTGGCCCAGTTATGGCCGCTGCCGGGCTCGCGGCTATGGTCTGTGGCGGCTATGGGCTGGGTCGGTCAGCCTCCCAGTTGGTTGATCGCGGCACCCACGAACAATCGATTAGCATAACCAATCGCACGGCCCGCAATCACTGGCTGGGCGTAGGAGGCGGCACAGTGGCCTTGGGTGCAGCAGGCGCGACAACCTTGCTGACTGCTGCAACCAATGCGGGCAGGGAAGTGGGAGCCGTAAGTATTCCAAATAGCATACCTAAACAGCTGGGTAATTGGCTTGCTTCACAGATCACCCAGCTGACGGTCAACGGCATGAACATCTCCAGCATTATGATATCAGGAACGGGCTTGGCCAACGGCATAGTCGATCTGGTCTTGGTTAGACATTCATTTGATTTCGCTCATATTTGCTTTATATAATGTCTTTATGATTTCCTGCAGAAATACATGGATGGCGACGATATCTCGGCCATGGACGCTCTGCAACTGTCCGCTTCACTGGTGCTGTTCACGCACAGTGTCTACAACTTCAAGCTCGCGTCGACCATAATCAGTGAGACGTCCAATAATAGGATTGGCACCTATCGCCAGACGCTGAGCAATCGACAGAGGTACATACATACATACATTATCTTAACTGAGATTGTACCTTCTAATCTTTCTATTGCATTTAATGCAATTACCTAATAGGCTATTAAAATGGCTTCCTGTTTGACAATCT